AACCGCACATACTCAAACAATTCACCGGAAATTCCGCAGAACGTCTGAGAAGGCTCCGGTCACCTGCGGAAGTTTCTAAAGCGTTCAGAACGGAAGGAGGAAAAGAAACACCCAAGCGGATTCGAACCTTGCTCTCTTGACTGTGAGACACACTTATATCGTCTGCACTACGGATGACATAATCAAGAATGCACTCTATTTGTTGGCCTTCCCTTTTATAAGAGGCAACACATTCAAAAACCTGCGCAAGTACCGGCAGGTCAAAGTGCCGCGGAACCGCTTTTATTTTTCAAAATTTTCGAAGTTTTTTGTACCAAGTCCTGCGGAGTTCCCGTTTCCAACCAGTCAGAGGTGAGCATCCTGCTGGAGTATCCATTTTCAACGTTTCCACTCTTGTAGTAGTTAACAAAATCCTGCGGAACCTCTCAAACTTTGCTTGTCCTGCGGAATTTCTGGTGTGCCTGAGTAAGTATATGTGTACTTTCACGTATTCACTGAATGTATAAGCCAAGATAGGAATGCTGACCTGAGTTTTGACAGGGTTGAATATTTTTCCCACCCTTATACTTCATGAGTATCATGAACTGTCCCAGTATGTGGCAGTCGTCTTCCAGAGCTTCCTTTGACCTATCAAATAATTTGCAGTATTCTTATGAGAATTTTTCGCATCCCTCTAGCTACTAATGTCATTTTGGATTAGCTTTTTATGAACGCGGTCAACTTCACTTTGCATCTGAAATGCTGATAAGACTCGTGATAAGCGGATTCGTCGCGCTTGCGCCGTACGGTCTCACCTCGCCCTTACCGTTTTGGTGAAGACTTACCAAAGCAAACAACTGGCGAGACTGTTGAAGCACGCTTATTCAAACGAAAGTTATTGCGAAACTCCTTCATAGTCTTAACCTAAGGAATACAAAAATACTGAGCTATATTTAGTTCCAATGGATCTGTTTCGCTCCATATCCGCAAAATTCAGACTCCTTTCATATTGCTTGTCTGTTATTAGTAGTGTTGAGTGCTAGAATGACAGTATAGTCTATTATCAACGCATGACTGAAAAAAACATTTGCCTCAAGCTAAGATATATTATACAAAGGTTCGAAATTTCCAGAAAATAACATCCTAAAAAGGCCTCAGTAAGATCCATTTTGGAGAGCGGGTGCCAAAGATATTTTTCGAATTAGCTGGTCAGGTGATCATTTGGATGTAAAAACACTTCATTCTTTCTTTAAGTCAAAACTATGGAAGTAATTCTTCTACGAGTTTATGTGCGAATAGTTAATGAGTCTTAGGCCTCGGACAGAGTTCACGCGATTTGATCGTCGCGATTTAATCGCCGCGATTTTCATTCATTTTCATTTTACCTTCAAAAATTTTGAGCTGGAAAAGTATCACAACCGAAATGCAAGCTGATCGGCATGCAATGAACTCGTAACAGTTGTCTTGTAGCGATTGCATCGCGACGATCAAATCGCGTGAACTCTGTCCGAGGCCTTACGCGTCCATTTTTTCTTTTATCTGCTGCTTTTTTCATGAAAATAGAAGAGAGATTCAAAACTTCTCATAAGGAAAAATCTCCACACAAAATATATATGTATTATAATCAGTGCACCACCACATAATAAAATTTACATGCATAGCGATGACAAATTCTAATTTGGGTAAATTTGTCGCAAAATGCTCTTCTTGATATTCTTTCCTAATTCAAGAGCTGCCTTATGAGCAGCTCTTGAATTTAGAACTTGACCTTAGAAAGTTGGCATGTCACAATGTAAGCCACTTTCAAGAAATAGATTGCGATGTTTTCATTCAGAGACTCAACAAGAATTGTTTGCTGACCTGTTCCTTCGTTAAGTTTTTTTGATTTTGTTTTTAATCTTTAGCAAACCCTCGAAAATATTACAAAACCTTGTTTAGTGATTGTTTCCAAAAATGTGCACATATATTCTCTAAGGTTTTCAAACGCATTTCTATCAGACTGTGCTTGACTTCGTTTTGGTGATAAAGCTCTTTCTCTGTCCGTGACAATGGCACTTGCTTGAAGCCATAACGAACCTTGCTTATGTCTATTTTTTTAATATGCTCTCTTAGGCAAGCTTATTGTTATTGTCTACTTATCAAGCAATGTGAGCTCCCGAATGATCTACGGAGCATTTTTTATCGCTTGTTTTACGACTGTTCCACACATCGCGATTGCTCGACAACGATAGCGGTTGCCCGCTGCGGTGCGAACCGAACACCATCGCTGCGGAGCAGGCTATCGGAGCGATTGAGATGCGACTGGTAGATTCTTCAAGCGACACGGCACCCATTTTGGTCAAGGTTCATCTAAAAGGACTATTTTGATTTTCAAAATTTTTGTGGTGTTCGATGCCCTAGAGAGTCATTTTTTTTGGTTTACCTGGAGCAAAATAAGCATGTTTACCTATTTTTTGGCTATGTTTGGTGTAGTGGATGACGCGACGCTATCAATCACTGAGATCAAGGTTCGAACCTACTCGGCGAGTCAATCAAGTCTGTAATTACCGGCAGTCGGAAGTCAACTAAAATCGTCCTTTTACCGCTGGGATAGGAGCAACGATTTGATGGAAAAAAATCACCCCAAAAGTTGAAGTAGCTAACAAAAATAGAATTAGATTTTGTTCGGCACACCTGCATAGGATTTTGAAAATCCTTCATACTTTTATTAATGTCCTATTTAGTCAACTTACGACCCCGAAAGTGGTGGTTTCCAACAAGAAGTGGAGGGAGGACCTGCGAAAAGAGTTTTTCCTTTGTAAATAATTAAATACTTTTCAGAACCTCGAAGATTCATATTATCTTTGTAACATTCACGTTTCACGATAATTATGAGCTACAGCACACCGAAATTTGAGATATCCCAAAAAATTGCGGAGCGCCTAGTCAACGCCGCGCCCCTTCTTCGAAAAAGAATTTTTTTGCCCCTCCCTCTCCCCGAGCGAAATTTGTCAGATCGCCACTATTTCACCTATGTATCCTTCACCTAAATCTACATTTCTCTCACAAGGATCCACATTCAAAACAGAGCCTATCGACGATGCGGTGGATGCGATGACTATCTAAGCGGGTGGGGTTTTCGTGTCTGTTGTATTCACAATCAACACGGTAAATCTAGCCGCCGTGTTCCCGCACACCGAACACGCTCCTGCGGTTGGTCCTAAGGCCGCAGTCTTGATTTTTCCATTTAGATGCGTTATTGGGGCTGTATAGGCCACTACTCTTGAAATGGCACGCCTCAGCGCAAGCAGCGGTGCCAGGAAATTCATCTTTTATACATTTTTATTTTTTTCCAATACTTCTTTGCTTCCGCCTTTTTACAACTCAAGAATTAGCCGATGTTTCTATTTGCGCATAAAGAATCTGTGCAATACCCTTATTCAAGCTAATACTTCTCTCTATATCAATGCTGAAGTGTCCTCAGTTGACAAATCCAACCTTTTGAAATCTTTTATAGAGCTCTCATGAGCTATGTGAAAGCTCTCATCTCTTCCGAAAGCATCTATTGTCGCAATCAATCAATATCAATCGATGCGATTTCCAAACAGCCAGATGCTATTTGAAAGTGAGACTCGTTCCAAACGATATTCTTTGCGTATGACACCATCACGGGGTTGTTCTCATGTCATCGTTTGAATGCTATCGTTACCGTAGTTTCGCAGTCGACCGCATTGAAGTGGTAACCTCATCATCGATTCGCTGAATGAGATTAAATTCGAACGAAACCATATAGCACTAGTTTATGATTTCATCATTCCACAGACCTTTTCCCCTCTAAAGACGGGACTGTTGACGCCCCAGTGCCCAGTGATAACGCCCCTGCCGAATAATCGGACGGCGATATGCTTATTCGTGGTTTTTCTAGCAGCCAGCCCCATGAGCGCCGCATTCCATCTCGAATGGCTCAGCGGCGGCTGCATGGGCGCTGTGTCGAGCGTATTTACAGCCTAACCGCGATAAAGTGCGTGTCGACAGCGCGCGCGATACGGTAGGTGCCCGACACGACGATATCGTGTGCGGTGGTGGCGATAAGCCGCCCTACTCCGGCACTTCCACCACTCGTCGCCGTTCCGAACGGTTCTCTGTGGATAGGGGCGGCTGGCTGGTGCGAGCGCTTTCTTCACAGCCTGATTGATTTTTTCATAATGTAGAAGGGATGGATGTTCGGGTTACAGTTCATCTTTATGCAATTCCTAAAAGACTCGGATGCGCATTTCTAATTACATTTAGAATTTCCGTAATTACTTAGTTTTATCATGGTCGGTACTGCAGTCATTTTTTGGCTCTCCTCACAGAATACTCCAGTTTTGAAGGAAATTGATCTGTTCTGCCACTTGCTCCTTAATAAATTCTTCTGCTGCTTTTCTATAATTCTTGCGCATGACTATCTCCGAAATCAAATGGAGTTTTGTAGTTCATAATTATGAGAGCATATCTCATAAGATGGCAGTCATATAAACCAATCAGCAAGATAGTCAGGTTCTCTAACAATAAGAAAAGCATTTTTACAAATGATCCTTTAGAACGACTCTTAATGCCACTATGACTCACCCTATTTTGCTCATCTTACCAGCAATAAAAGAGCATTCTAAACTGAATGTCCCTAAAATCGTAAATTTTGGACAGTTTTTGGTAATTTAGAATTATAAAAATGTATCTCGACTTCCAAAAACGCATGCGTATGAGAAATTGTTGTCGTTCTTGCCCTTCCTTCTCCTTCTCCCATACAAAAGCACTACAATAGTTATTAGAGTTATCTGTGCTCCCAAGCCTCCCATTTCGACTTGATTTGACAAACTTTGACAAAAGTCCTCACTGTGTTAGTAGAATTTTCTCCTTCCACCTCATATCATGCCATGAAGTGTGAGTTTTACTGAAACGCAGAGCATCGCATTCTTCATCGTAGTTTCTCGCAACACCAAAAACCGAAAATATAATACACCTCGTTATTTATTCATATGAATCATAGGTCTGCAGCCTATTCGGCATGAGCGTGTACCACAACGTACACGAGTTCCTGCACGCCAATAAAACGCCTCTGATGGTAGGTGGAACTAATTAAAAAGCTTTAGTCATTTCCCAAATTTACAGAAATCAAGCAGCCCGAACATCTTCTACACAAAACTTCCGGAACACCATCGCTCAAACAAATCACTGCCGTCACCGTTTACTGTCCTGATTACGTCACCTGTACCGGATGGAACGATAGGTAAGATCGCTTATCGATTTATCGATCACTCTGTCGCGGTCGATTTCCACACTTGTCCGCTACGCCGCGCAACTGGATTCGCTCGCTTATCGTGGTGTTCATCAGAACTTCATGTTATGGTTTTTGTGCCTGTCGCGTAGAAGTGCGGTAAAGAAAGGCGAGGACCTCGCGCAGCCGATTATGAGGTTTTGATCGTCTCTACATGGTGGGTGCCATGAGCGCGCAAGTTTTACGATGTCTTATGCTGATCCGATTTGCTTAGGTGGTCCTTCTAGCTCTTGTCATCCTGTTTTACATGTTTTACTGTTTGGCATCAAACAGGCTTAGCTTTCGTTTTCCCTTTCGTAAAACGCCTGCCCGCACTAATTTGAGTATATACTGTAACTCCCAATTATCTGAAATATTCCTTGAGAATTTCAACGCAGCACTGCGAAGTTCCACAACAAAATTGCATTTATTGTCAGCTCCAAAACGCGAGATATGGTGTAATTGCACGTTTTTCGGTGACGGCATACGTGATCTTTTGATGAATCATTCAAGTCTCCTTTTGTCTTCGCCTGTGTCAATAAGCTTATCGACTTACCCTGGAACGGCAGACTGCAATTTCCGTGCATTGAAAGCATGGATTTCAAGATCTTGTGATGACATCTTTTGCGAAACTCTAGGTTTGTGTACTTGATCACAATTTAATTGAAAAATGGCGAACATTTCAAAGTTTCATGAGATATTGAACCACACTGTAGAAACAACCTGTATATTAGCGGGTGTAGACTCTTGGGGTTTGCCTCGGTATGCAATGTATAAGGGTGAAATAGACAACAAGAATGGTGGTTCAGTGGTTTATTAGGATTACTGTAACCGAGAGCGTGAGATTGTGACCTTGGGTGGTCAACGTGTGATCAAGAGTGAGGTGAGACCTCCCAGGTGGACGCATGGCAGACATGGCCCGCCCACTTGACTATGACGTCATATGGCACGGGTATCAGGAATCATCGATCGGTCGATGATACTCCGGCCAAACAAGGGGATACATACATGTAGAGAATAAGATAATTGTATACATGACTAGCACAACTGCATCTACATGTAGAGGTGAGAAATCGGCTTGTTGTGGTTGGTTGTGGCGTTGAGTGAGTTGTGCGGCTAGTCGTTGAGGGTGAACCATTGGATTGATGACGAAAAGAGGCTGGTAGTAGTAGAAGTAGACGGTGACGGTTGTGGCAGTTGTTGAGGTGCGGCTTGTTGAAGACGACGGCGATTGTAGACGAATTGTTTGACGATTTGGCGATTTGAAAGGATCCAGGCGAGAAGAAGTGCTACAGGAACCTATCAGCTGATTATGACCGAAATCATAAGGCTGATAGGCACTGTAGCGTATCATCGACCGATCGATGATTCTGTATTCGGGTGCGAAAAAAAAATGACATTGAGTTTGTGAACCTCAATTCGTACACTTACGCAGTTAAAATTAAAGTATTTGCTGAAACTAACGTCTTCCGGGAAATTTCGACCTATCGAATAGAAATGCTTGTTAAGAACTCAGTATGAGCTCCTGCGTGGTCTTACCTTCAAAAGGTTTGCATCATAGCATTTTGGAGTGAAGATACTGTTGATGTGATGAACACTGATGAACAAAAAGTTACTTGATGATAGTCGAGAGAGAACTCGCATAACTCTTCAGTCAAGCCTTTCTGCCGCAACAAATCTCTTAATCAATTATAGGAGAGTCATAAAGCACCCTTATCCGCTTTTTCTTACGCAATATCGAGGGCCCTGCTTGTTTTTTAATATTGCCCACTTTTAAGGAACCAGTGCGTCACTCTTCTTCGCAAGGGTTCGCACCGGTGCTACTAACTGTAGGGCTTTCTCGTACTCTCCAATGATAGCTTTAGAACTCACCGCGTACTGCTGACCTAGTCGTTTTGAGCAGTTTACCTAATTTCGCCTGTATAAAAAGCAACTCAAAATCTGCATGTGAAAAGTAGGTCTGGGCTCTTTCAGCTTTTATAGGAACTAAGCCATGTTTGGAGCTATGTGCCAGCGTTAGTTTGCTGTCCGCTAACAATAGTTTTTTGAACAATCTTGCTTCAAATTTTTGGATGCCTATACCAAATTTTATCTATTTTTTATTCACAGTACACTTGGTAGTGCCAGAGATTCAAAAGAAGGCAAAGAGACTCTGAACATGGGAGAAACCAGCCAGTCATAATCGTAGGGAATAATAGAAAATTTGGAAAATTTATGAGTCCTAGACCCACTAAATGCGGGCATCCTCTGAGCTTGCGAAGCTTCAAGAAATAATCAAATAGACCACGTATGAAATCTAAATCTTGCTCACTATAAAATCATGATGAGCCCATTATTCAGGTATTAGCGAGCTCGCGGGTAGCTGGCTGACTTATCCCCTATGATGATTTATTTGAGATAGAGCAAGATTCCTTAATCAAAAATCAGTTCACTCACATGCGTTTATCAATTTTGTTGGGCTTCTCCTTTCTTTGTCCGGCAAACTTTGCTTTAAGCTAGTTGTTCAAAATTGCATTCGTGCACGAAGAAAATGATTCTGGAAGGTCCAGATTTTTGCGCTACCAGTTCGGCTTTCATAGTGTACAGCACATAATTCGCATAAGACATCGCCCAAGCTAACGGGGATCGAGCAAAAGAGCCCATCACATCCGGGAATCCATTACATTCGCGGCTGACGACCACTGTAAACCGCTTAACCGTCGCAGCGACAACGAGCTCATTCGACAAGATGTTCGACACCTGCAACAGGTGGTCGCATTGCGGCTGGGCGGAGCCGGACCTCGCTATCTAAGCTGATCTCAACCGATTTGTACGTGGGTACAGTGAGTTGTGTCCAAGCGACAGCCATAGATGGAGGCAGATTACGGCACCACATGCTGCGTGACGACGGGTGCAAAACCTGCTTGCCGTCGATGTGATGCTTTAGGCGCATCAGCGGTGTTTAGGGTGTTTTGTGGGACGCATTTGAGAGTACGGTAACGATTATGGAAAGTAGTTCTTTTGCAGTCACCGTCGCTGCTGGGAATGATGAAACGCCATCCGGAGAAGTGCGACATGATACGGCGAAAGTGATTAGACAAGTGGCTCGTTTCAGCGACCTGCGGTTCGTGGGCAAAAGTGGACGAGGTGGGTCTCTTTTACACCATTAAATTAATCAATGCTTATGAACCCAAAATTTGCCAACTATAAACGCGAGTTTACTTCTACCCTCTTTTCGGCTGCGTTCATGAACCCGACTGCACTCCACTTCTCTGCGCTCTCCGCACTTTGCGCGTTCTCTGCATCCGCCGACTCGGTTACCGTAATCAACGACGCGGACAACGTTTTTGTGCGTACGAATAATGTTCGCTGGTAATAGATAATGATCACCGCGGCGTGTGCATACCGCCGTTGTTACCATCACAGCCAACAACGTTCTTGAACACCCCTTGAAAGAGGTGGTCGTCAGCTGATTCTGGTTCGAGCGGTGAAGAAATTAGTCACGTTTTGGAAGAACAGGATGAGAGTGAGGGGTTGGAAATACACAAAAACCATAGTGGCCATAAGAGGCTCCTAATGATGGATGACATATGTTGTTGGCATGCAAATTTCCAAATATGGAGAGAGAGAGAGGAGGTGGGTGATGAAGCTCAGGGCTCGGCACGAGCTGGCACCAGGGAATTTTGAAAACGAAGTCCCCTTTGATCCTCAACGATATCCCCCCTAAAATCCTAAAAAAATCCCCAAAATCCCCCAAAAAACGAAACGTCGACTAAAAAAAAAAAAAAAAAAAAAAAAAAAAAGGTCGCCGCCGCCAATTTTCCGTATGTCTTCGCCCACAAAAACGAAACCCCCTTTGCTTTTTGCCCCAAAAACGATATCCAGCTTGCCCCGTTCCAGCTGGTGCCAGGCCCTGATGAAGCTACACCTGGAAATTCACAACTTTTTACTGATGTTGGACGAGAAATGTCGTTCTTCATAAATTAAGAATCGTCCTAGCTTCATGGCCACCTAGAATTGAATGTGAGTAAGTAAATACTCTGCAAAACACTGTTTCAAATCCTATCCACTTGCGCGCTAACCACTAAAACATACCGTACCTTTAGCACTTATTGAAATTACTCATACTCTTTTGCAAACACGTCAGATGAGGGAAAATACGGTTTTCCCGAAATATCGTTCTGCAGATAACGTGATGATTTGGATGAATTATTGCCGAAATCCAATGGCGGTTAGAGAATTTTCGCTTTATCGAGTCGCACAATTTTTACAGTCCCACTGTCAAGAGTCAATTGCTTTTTACTAAAACCAAATTCTAGATATAATGCATTGAGACGGTAATAAACACAAAAATAGTATGTTGATGCTTTTGACCTGCGACCGTCCTGCGAATTATGGCAAAAGCTTCAATCATGAAAAAAAGTTTGTTTATGATTTTTTGTGAAGAAAACGTCAGCACATAGCAGAGACAGATTTTAAATTATCATTCAGGGTTCTTTTAGGGCCGCATGCACTAACATGGCCGCGGGGAGGGGATCGCAGCTCAAAACAAAGCTTCATATTCTGAAGCTCCAGACATCTGGAGTTCACGTTGTGTACCCATCCATAAGTATTCTTACTACCCTTCACTATGAACACATTGAACAGGAGCGAGAAGCTGCACAAGCCGCATTTTCCAGCTTTTGTATGATCCCTGATGATCCCCGGCGCTTTTCTTTCAAGTCATTTTTCTTTCTCCAGAGTTAACAAAAAGCTTTCAAAGTTGTGCATAATATCTAATCCAACACTGCTTAGCATGTTGCTGATAAGAACAAGTGATGTACCGGAGTCATGAAATTTGCGATGAACCACAGGTCGAAAATTGGAGTTCACCGAAAAATCCGAATTTTCAAAAACTCATTTGTTCTCATCAGTAATATGCTTAGCACTGTTGTGTTAGATAATCCGCACAACTTTGGAAGATTTTCGTCAACATCAAAGAAAGAAAAATGACGTTGAAGAAAAGCGCCGGGGATCACCAGGGATCATACAAAAGCTGGAAAATGCGGCTTGTGCAGCGTCTCGCTCCTGTTCAAGTGTTCATAGCGAAGGGTAGTAGGAATACTTACGGATGGGTACATGTGAAATCCAGATATTTGGAGCTTCAGAATATGAAGTTTTTTTTTTTAGCTGCGATCCCCTCCCCAGCGGGGAGGTTAGTGCATGCGGCCCTTAGTGTCTCACTTGAAAGTTCCCACTTTCCACTTGTCGCACTCCCACTTACATGTCAGTGGAACGGTCATCAATACCATTTCCTTGTTGAGCGTATCATAGACCTTGAATAAGACAGCTTCTTTCCTAAGCAAACGGGGAATTCGCATCGCAGTGGTGCATTTATTCCGAACTCCTTCTCCCTCCTTCTTCCTTAGTAATTTCAATAGATAACATAGCACTTATCGAACGTATGCTCAGGAAATAAGCTTTTATGACCAATGTTTCCAGTAAATCAAATAAGCGTCATGCGCTGAGAAGTTCATGTCATCGCAATGATGGGAACAGCGAATATGCGGCGATTTGTGGGCGACACGAGAGATGGATGCGATGTTATCTGCTGCGGCCCACGGTGTCGACACGGCGATGCCAATCTGTCCGCAGGCTATCCGCCACCAGATGCGAGCAGATAACGTCTCCGCCAGGCGACAAAACCGCATCTCGCCCATGTGTTCGGCGGTGTTTGAATAGGTTAAGAGAATCGTAGAGCGCAACGAGAGTCCTACAATAAGCAATTCAGCTTGTTAATTTAATGTTATAACGAGCAACCTTAAAGAGGCTATATTTATAACATTACAGGGTACCCTGAAAAAAGGTTGCGCACTGTTTGATCGTTGGTAAATCCTTTGCTCAGCTGTCTTTCGCCAAACGTTATGCACTATCCTGTAGTGATGGCTTTCTTATAGGGGAAGGCACCTAATTTAGCTCGACCTTTTGGAAAAAAGAAATACATTTTCTGTACCAGCTCGGAGCGCTAATTCCAAATATGCTAGTCCTATGCGGCTCATTATTTCGAAGCGAGTTATGATCTTTTCACTATGCAAAATTGGCGTACTACTCAACATGGACTGCCTGTAGGTAAAAATATGCCAGAAAAAGGTGCTGGGATAATTCAATGATCACATCAAATTTTTCTAACTCAGATCGACCTCAACGCAGGTGTATTAGCGCTTTGATGATGATGCCGTGATGCCACTGATTCGATGAGTATGCAAATTTTGCACTGAAAATCAACAACTTGCTCCAGATTGATGCGATATTTAGGGTTTCTAACTGATGTAGAAATGTATACCACTTTCCAAATAACCGAGCTAAGTTATACCTTTCCTTGTTAGATTTACAGCATGGAGTAAATCGCCACTGTCATTACTGTAGGATCACAGTAGGAAGTTCAAGAAGGATTTTAGGCCATTGAGAGCCATGCTTTGCATCAGTAAAAAAGAAACAGGCAGAAACCCTCATACTAGGCCAAAAAGGCGCCACTTTATTGTAGTGCTTTTTTCCTAATTCTTTTTATTTTTAGAGAGTTTAAAGAATTCCCAGAAAATACTAAAAAAAAATAAGTACACCATCGGAAAGCTCTAAAACTTGTAAAAGTTGTGATATGAAGTCAACATGTGTGTGGCTCCCGCTAGACACTTTTCCTCTTTTGAACGAATTTTCTGCAGTCGGCCTATTTTACAATGGTCTATATGCTGAAAGTTCCTACCGTAATCCTACAGCAACGAAGAGCGATCCGTAATTCGCTCCACACTGTAGACCTAAGAAGCCATATCTACAGAATGATACCTAGAGATCGACCAAAGACATCAAGCAAGAGAGTCAAAGGTCAAACATTGTGCACATTTTTTTGGAACACCCTGTACTTGCGGAAAAAGCTTAGTCTACCGGTCCTCTGCTACTAAACATGTCTCCGAATTCCTACTACAGAAGAGGTTCAAGCTTCCTCTATACCTCACTTTAGGGAATCTCTGAGAGTCTAGGAAATTTTGATTTTCTGTATCTGATATTGGTCTGTTTCTGGGATAATTTAGATGACTACTTTTCAGTTTATTTTGAAATAAACTAAACTCATGAAAACTTAAAATCAGATTATAAAGCTCACAAGGTAAATTTTTTGAGCATTTTCTACTGCGAACCATCATTCTCACAGAATTGTCCAGATTCGACTGTCGCTTAATCTCTGCATAGAGAAGTTCTTTCTTGTGGCTTGTTGAGCTGTAAGCCGGGAGACTCTGAAGAAGGCGATATAGCCGAAAAGTTAGTCGAACGAAGAACAATCCCGGTCTACAGCTCAACAAGCCACAAACATTCTCACATTGGTCTTAGAGTGCCAGAAACTTTTGTGGTGTAAATCTAACTTGTAGTCACTCCTTCATGCGGTATTGCGCGGAGTCAGTAAAATCTGCTGTCGAAAATGAGGCAGTTTTCAAATCATTCAGAGCTAACCATTAGTAAAAATCGTCCAATATAATAGCTCAAAGTACTCCGTGGTAAAACCCTAACTTGTCCTTTTTTAGGCAAAAACTTCCATCTCACCATATGTGTACACACGAAACCGATGATGATAGCGATGGTAGCCCGTGCAATCAAGGCAAGTTTTTCGCACTACTTACAAACTTCGAGATGACAATCATCAGAGGTTTTGAGACAAAACATGAAGAGAAGAGCGTCGTTTGTCTCACCATACAAAACTTTTATCTCTTTTACAAATCTTTGAGGCAGTAATAGAAAGAACCACATTGCACGCGGTATCTTTTTTTGTGCTCATGGAACCGTTACCGTGCATGAGACGAATTGTAGAATTCGAAAGTGAGGGTTAGGCCTAAGAGGGGGAAAGCTTTTCAATGACAAATCGTAAGCCTCATAAGATCCTCTCCTTCATCGATGCACAAAAAGTTTGATTTAGAATACGCTTTTTCAAAAATCTGATCTTCAGTACCAGTTCCCTATGCTCTTTTCATACATCATATATTCCATAACAGGTTACCGTCGATGGTCCCCGAGAAGCAAGGACTCCTAATGGAGCGCTTGCCCACCGACGTCGGCCGTGCGCCACCTTCGCTAGCCCTGTACCACCATTTTATCCAGCTTATTCACCACTTTTATTTATCCCCACCCCAGAGTAAGTTTCATACTGTTGTTAGTATCTATTAATCCACCAAATAATTACAGCTTCCGAACGACGTTTCCTGCACTCTTCACGCGTCCGATTCCCAACGACACATCACCTGAGGGTATCCGGAACGGCTACCAACCAGTCAGTCAGGAACCACCCAGGAAACGAGCGCGGAAGCAGTCTGCGAATTCCCCAACTTCCTCTCCTCCTGTCTGGCGGCCGTGTAAATTTGACTGAGTTCTTCTTCTATTTTCTCAAGGATTCTTTGAGGTGAACGGGGTTGATGGGGAATTTAGAGTGGTTGTACTCCCTGCACATCACCATCGACAGTTCTGCTGTCTTTTTTGTATCTTTTTTGTATGACTAAGTACCCAGCGCGAGCCTATATTGCGCTCTGAAAGATACCGCGCGCTTTCTGAGTATCACCCCTACCGCCCCATCAACCTCGTTCGTTCTCTCCTCTCATTCCACGTCTCATCCACTTAGCAGTGGCACTCGTCGGTTACTTCCGGCGTTATACGGGTTATGGCGGTAACATCTTAAGCTCGCCAGCGCTTCCTATCCGCCAATTGTACACACCTACTTTATTGCTTTGCAATAAACGTCTTCGTTTAACAACTCTTTATCGCAAAAAGCATTCACAGAGGGGTATGGCGCGCACGAGTCAAACATTCTTGATCAAACGAGGGACACAGAACTCAGAAACTCACTTCGATACAAGAAATATACTCAGCAGATGCCAAAAAAAAAACTATATCCTCTACCAAACAAGAAAACAAAACAGACAACTTCAGGCATAACAAAAAGTACCTATAAGCATACCTTACGAAGCAAATCAGATCATTCACAGAACAAACCATTCGAGGCCGGCTGAATCCAACAAGAGCTCGACAGTCAGAAAAGCAGAGTTGAAAGGCTAAGCTTGTGAGCTTAAATGATATCAAAACAGCCAATGTTGGTGACAACTGCTTCTCATCAAACAAACATTTGGAATTAACGCAAACGCACAATAAGACCTCTGATGATCATGATTATGTAGCTCAAAAACAAATCTCCCATGATTTTTGGAAGATTCAAAGCACACGATAGGATTTGACGCTACAAAATGACAAAATACAAAATAATACGCATGCATAGTAAAGAAATCTGAGTTTCTAATTGTAATATAGTCGTAAAACCGTACACAAAGCTGGTCATTATACGACAAGAATATATAAAACCATTCCAATCAGATTCAACTTTTACAAGAGCATCTTGAACTCCATATATTACCAAATGAGATTATCTTGACAATTTCCTTGAGAACTTACTGTGAAAGGTAAAATGGAAAGGTTGATTGTGAAAGGATTTTACACTAATGTAACGAGCTAATCTAGTAAAGACGCTGCTGCACGTAAGCGGAAGATGTGGTTACCGACTGATTGTGACTGAGCCCCGCCAGAAGAGATGTTGGAGTGCTAGTTGAGGTAACGCGACAGGGTGAGCTCAGCATCGCCTGAGGATACATGGTAGCATTAGATGGTGACAGTTGCATGTATTGATAAGCATGGTGCTGCTGACGAGGCACAGTTCCGCGGGCAACCGCGGCTACTGCAGCCACGCCACCCAGCGGCTGTACGGACGGGCTACCGGGAGAATTGAAAAAGTGACGAGGTACTGCGCTATACGGAGGTTCCATGTAAATACCAAAAGTGTCAGAGCGAAGCGGGGAGCGAGGCGCATGGCGCATGAGAGGGCGATGATCAGAGTTCTTTCCGCCCATAAAGTGGCGAGCCTATAATCCACACATGAGAACTCTGAGTCAGATCTGAGACAAGGCACACCTGCCAACATGCTCCACAGTAGTAGCGAAAACAAGTCCGATCGCGACAAAAATAAGGACCTTGCGCTTCGCCGCACACCATACACCACGAATCTTCAAGGAATGGATCAATTTGTACTCTTTTACCTATAAAAGGAAACTTTTACAGCTTAAAAATCAAGCAAACTTACTAAATAACCAGCAAACTCACTAAATTTGCTGGTTCTAATCTCAAGAAATGCAGATTCTATAGCTCGAAAGTAAGATGCATGTGAACGGAAGGTAACCCTGCCGCTACCTTAATCGGTCAAATCGCAAACAAGTGTGATCAATTGTAGAATAGACCAAACCAATCGGATATTTGTACTTGTCGGTATCAATCCCGACAAATACGACGTTTCCATATAATTCGTTCATTATGGAGAACAACACATGCGCCGTGAGCATACCATGTAATGCGCCAACGAAAACCTAAACTGGCCGTCTCAGAGCCAAAACGGAACAGATTACAAAACAGATTACTCCACCGTCTTTTTGGGATCAAGGGGATAGCTCGGATCATCATTGTAACACGAGTCAGATACCACCCATGGGATTACTTGCACCTGCAAAACCGAATTCATGCGAAATAACGCAAGTCACCCATTCACCTGACGAATCTCGCTACTCTGATTACGGCGCGCTTTCAACTTGAAGTACCACTCTCCAGCAGAACCAAACTCTTGCGAACAATCCTGCAGCAGCAAACGCACAGACCTTTCTGTTTCAAATACCATGTACACATATCCGGTGATCTGCAGAGGTAGAATCCGCTAATTAACAATCCCGCTGCCACTCCTTACCTTGCCCCGTGTTTTATTCGAACGTGAAGAACGCACCTCCTTGCATGGCCATTCAACTCGGCAATTACCATATGGAGAAAAAGCATCAATCAACGCTGTTTCTGTGATGTCCCAAGGCACTGAAGTACTGCACTTAATTGCAAAAGTAGAATAAAGCAAAAGCTGGTACTAACCTCCGCCTACAAATATTTTACTCGAGAATGTAGGATTGCTATAGTTCCGAGGTGGCAGCTCTCCACTCCAGAGGTAACCAGGATATGCTTGATTTTCATTCTCAGGCGATTTCTATAGAGAAGTAGCTTCGTTCTAGGAAAAATCAAAAAAAAAGATCATTACATAGTGTGTACCTCGTGATAATTATGCCAATGATCCTGTATGCCGCGGCACAGATAGCGATCCTCATAGGGTGCTGAGAAAAAAATGCGAGGAACGACCTTACGCTCAGAAGCTGCAGCAGGGGGTGTCAAAGGTTCCAGTGAGCTCGCACCCTCTGAAGGTGCCGAAACGCTGTTATCATCCTAGAATGAAATACTGTATATAGATAACTAAAAATGTTGGTGACAGGAGAGTTGGATGAAAGATGTCATTGTTTCACCTTTGTTATAAGTGAGCTCAAGGTCGAGTACTAATGAAATACCATGTCAATCTTCAGCAGCGTCATATATACATTGAGAAATGGAGGATGCGTAGGTAAAGTTGAGTACATTTATTCAAAAGAATCAATATAATTATGAAAAGAACCGAGAATACACTCCAAAAATAACTAGATGATTGTTGCAATGAACAAGAAAACCCATAATACACAAGAAAGATGGAGAAGAAATATTAACTTCAAACTCACCTCATGCACTTCTCCAAAAGGGCGCACTATGTGAGTGCGTGGTGCCCGCACGCAAGATGACGGTTCGGACTGAGGACGAGATTGGGGGGAATTACTTGCAGAGATAACATCGAGCTCAAATCGGTTCATGACTGCTGTCAGCTCTGAAATAATTGGTCTTCACTCTACATAAATTCGGTTTCTGAAACTTGCTTCAAACAAGATGACATAACACAAAGCTTCATCAATAGGTTCAGCTCTCACCAGCCAATTTCTCCAGCGTCAATTTATCTGGTTTATTGCCATCCTCAGCTAATTTGTCATCTGAGGTTTCATTCACCACCGCAGATTGTGTTCCTTCCTGAAGAAAACTTGCTAATATAAGTGCATCTTCATAGAGATTTTTTGGCTTGAAAGCCAGCTAATATAAGTGCATTTTCATAGAGTTTTTTTTGGCTTGAAAGCCATATGTACTAAGTAATAAAAACGAAAACTTTGTTCTATGCCCGAAATAAGCGCGATATTGTCGGTTTTTGAGTGAGATACGGGATGCCTTCGAGCAGCCAGCTGGAAGAAGAACAGGGGAGCTATGATGGGAAAGTGAAGTGCAAGACCACCGATTGTGGATATACTCTCCCTCTTCCCCATCTTTTCCCTTTGTGATGAACAATCTTGGTGAGTCGAAACATTTTAGCAACAAATCAAAAAAACACATATCATTAGCGTCCCACACCTTTGAGAGATGTTTACTAGCGTCCACCATCTTTTACAAATGCTCCAGAGTTAAACACCTTCCATAAGTGCAACTGTGGACGAACATGTTCAGATGACAGCTCCTACCGTACTTACATTGTGAAATTCTACAACTGCGAAAAACGCACAGATAGCAAGGGAACTCTATTAGCAGAAGGATGTGAAGAACTCGGTTCAAAATCTGACATGAGGAAAGAAACTATCAGAATGATCAACAAGCAGCGCATGCATCTCACATTGAATTTCGGAATTATTGAGATTTGTTAATAAATTTGTTTGAGTTCATTCATATACCTCACCTTGAGTACTTTCGCGTTATACACAACGCCACCCTCCTTCTGCTCCTCAGCAAGGGAATTGAAATTCTCATCCATGGCACGGTGGCGGAGCTAAAAGTGTCAATAAAAAAAACGTGTAACAAGGCAATGAGAATAAAACTCCATAAAAAGTTTTATCCAAGGCAGCAATCTGCCGTGATACGTGATAAACTTCAGATTGGATCACTGCCAACATTTCGCCATACCTGTTCGTACTCGTCCAAAAAGTGAGTATTGATTTCAGTCTCGGCATGATCTGTTGTGCCGATTTGTTATTCCTCGCCTTGTCTTTATTTTTCATACATTTTTCTCTTTCTTTCGTCACACCCACATACAACGGAGAAGGTTGTACAACATACTAAATACCTCCACAATATTAGTTTCCGAGGTCGTTTCCACAAGTTAGCTAAAATCGACGCCATAACAAATTAGTCTATTGAAAAGATGGATCAACTTGTCCCAGTAGCAGGCAACCGCGTGCGCGATACATTAGCGCATCTCTTTAGGCAAGCGGCTTCCGCCTACTATGAGATCACATCACAGCGTAGTACGGTAGCGTACGGTAGAATTCGTCGAAGACTGAAGACATTCTCTCGAACTACATGTTTTTATTTATGTCTCGAAACACTTGCACGTAACAAAAGGATTGAAATCATGAAGTTCGGTATGAAATAGCAACTAATGCCTCCAACTAGTAGAAGTATATATGCGCATGCCATTCCAAAAAATGCATAGTCATCAGGTTCTGTGTAGTTCGCTTGCTTAGTCTCTATCTAAGGTTTATCTGCCGTACTTCCACGATTTGGAGCTTCGGTCAGATATTCAAGTCATGTATCAGAACCGAAGGAGTTTCTAAACTGGCAAAGCTACAACTCTGTAGATAACATGGACCAGGCGCTATTCCACATTAGTTAACCCAAAAATGAAAATCGTGAATTTTGCTAAAACTTCGTCTAGGGAGGTTATTTGGTGCGCTGAACACGAATATGATGTTTATTTCGTGCGACAGCGCCATCCGGTGGAGTTACGGTAGGATTACGGTAGGGGTCAAAATCACGGATTTGCCCGAAACTTCGTCTAGAGGGGTTATTCGGCCCGCTGATGCTGAATATATCACATTGGTTTCGTACCGTAGCATCATTTTCTCAGGCTACGGTGGGTATACTGTAGGGGGTCCAAAATCTCAAAATTTGCTGTAACTTCGCACAGAGGGCTTCTTTCTCCACACGAAAACGTCCCCCCGCATGGATACGGTAGGTTTATGGTAGAGGTCAAGATCACAAATTGGCAAATGTACCTTTCCCTTGTCTTTGCTTAAACAAAAGCAACAGCAGGATGTGTAGCGCGCGGCGGTGGTCGTGTGTGCAAAGCTTCACGATCGTCCGAACCGTCGTACACCCATTTCAGGCAGAACTATGTTTTGCACTCGTTACCGTGTAGCTACCATAACCTGATAAAATGACGCTATAGTTCAAAAGCAATGTGATATCTGGCATCAGCGGGCCGAATAACCCTCTGGGCCAAGTTTCGGGCAAATCCGTGATTTTGGCCCTTTACCGTAGTCCTACCGTAACTCCACCGTATGGCGCTGTCGCACTAAATAAACATCACATTTGTGTTCAGCATACCAAATAGCCCTCCTAGACGAATTTTTAGCGAAATTCACATTTTCATTTTTTGGGTCAACTAATGTGGTAAATATAGTAGTACCCATGACCACAAATCGCAAAATTGCATTTACCTTTACCGTGAAATCTCGTTTGTATGTGTTGATAGACATAAACCTTTGATTCAGCTGGTTTGGCGGCTGGATGGCGCAGCTTCATGACCCAATTAGATACCTCCACCCAGATTCTCGACTTCTAGGTTTTTGTCGTGGCCTTCTTATGTCCCTGGTTCCGATTATGAAGACGAGAATCCGCGAAAACCTCTACAATCCGCGTTCCGGAGAACTCGCAGACCGATTCTCCACAACGGTGATGGATGGGCGGGCATGGATGGGGAGCGCGGTGCCGTCTGGGGTCCTCGTGCATCTTCGCTATTCCGGGCGATTTTCTCGCTTTCGAAGCGACATTTTGCGCCGCGACTTGGACATTGGCTTGATAGGGGCCTACCATCATATGCTGCCAAAAGATCAAGACCCTCAATCTAGGGCGAAGGTGCCTTTAAAGGCACTGAACAGGCAAGGTGGGGGGGGGGGGGGGTTTTGGGACTTCAGTGCCATGTGAGGCCCCCTCAGACACAATATCAATGTCGCGCAAGTGCGAGGTCACAAGTTTGAGCTAAAGCAATAAGAACGATTGGGAAGGGAAGAAACTCACGCTCTGGGGCGAGGTCCTCCGACCTGTTTGAATTCTTCCTGCTATGCGGTAGAGTACGCATGTCGATGTCATCCTAGGGTCCCGCAGTGACTCTGCGTCTCAGTCATGGCGGGGATAGTAGAATTTCAAATCGTAAGGTTTCGAGAAACGCATGTTCTCGCCATTTTCGCACCTTCTAATGTGGATTTTCGGATTCGGCGTTGCAAAAGAAAACCCCTGATAAGTGGATTTTCTAAAAATCGAGTTTTTGCCCAGACACTGCTTTATAGGGAGCGTCTGGGCAAAAACTCGATTTTGAGATTTTGTGCTTATACGAGCCTAATCGCTATGCTGAATCCGAAAATCCACCCTGGGAAGCGCGAAAACGGCAAAAAAGGCTCTAGCGCAAAAACAGCAAGTGGGCGGGGTCCTTCCCACTGTGAATTCATGCTCCCAGCTTCCGGAACGATCTTCTAGATCCCGTTAGCCCTTCTAATGTCGCTATAGGTCGTCCGCGCTGCGCACGGAGAGCAACGCTGTTGCGTAGATTGAAGGCACACGACTGGAAGAAGCGCAGAGAAAAACAGGTGGCGAGAGTGCACGAGGAAAGAGGAGTGACGCGCAATACACACCTTGCGCACTCTCCGCGCCCTGCGCGGACGGCCTATACCGGCCAAGTGCGAACGGTTGACTTGAAACGAAAGCGAGAAGATCGCTCCGGAAGGTAGGGTGGATTTACAGTGGAGGGATCAAGCCCACCTGCTGATTTCCCTCCTGTGTTAGAGCCGTTTTTCGCCGTTTTCGCGCTCTCCAATGTGCATTTTTCGACTTAGCGTAGCGAATAGGCCGGGTGCGCACAAAATCTCAGAATCGAGTTTCTGCCCGGACACTGCATTCAAGGCCGCTCACGCCGACGCAGTCTGCGTCTCTCTGCGCGCGTGCTCTCTGATCATTATCTAGCCTTAATCAGGTCACGAGGCTCCGCCTTCCAGCCGCCAAGCGGGTTGAAATACCTCGCCTAGCGGCGTCCCCACGATTTTTATGGGAGGGAGGGAGCGACAAAACCTTTTTCGAACGAAGGTGTGCCACGTTAGCCACGCATGCCGAAAAATGGATGCTTCCAAAATCTTTATGGGCCAAGCGCTTCGGGAAGTTTTCTGTATAAAGCTAATCTGAACTTCTAAAAATCTGAAAATTACTTTATATATAGGACATTCGAAAAATCGTGACGATGGCGCGACCGCGCGCAACACGCACGCACTCCCAATTCTTGGTTCCTATCTCTATTCAAATAGTTTTTCTGCTTGCATATGATAGTATTCAGGCACTGGAAGTGATTGAGCTAAGCGTTTAGGTGTTGCCTGCTTGTAGGGGTGTCTTATCCTTCTGTGTGTGGGAAGACCGCAGTCAACTCGTCGTCATGATTTTAAAAATGAACCATATTTACAACTATAAAAAAGCTTGCACTTTCAACTCATCTAGGTAAAGCGCAAAATTTCGGCCAATTTTCGATGCCCCCTCCCTCTCCCGCCCCCTTTCCCCTCGTCGGCCACTGAGCTTGCCAGCATCACGTGCAGCAAAACACTTCCTTTATCTACACATCAGTTGTTCTTACCTACCGATAACTGCTCATATTGGTCTTTGTATAAAGTAAAGGACGTAGATGTCCAGCAGGAGAGCTGTCCAAGAAGTTACCTTTGATTACGGGAGGAAGGGTCAATTTCGAAGCGCGCCAATTTCTTTACCAAAGCTATCCCCACAATTCCAGCGTCGGACTGCTCATTCAAGGGAAGCAAGGGACAAGCCGGCTAGAAAAGACACCCCTTGCATCAAAGGCGCTTTTGGGTATAAGCTAGGGCGTTTTCCGGGGCCGCGCATTCGAGCCGACGAGCATAAGCAGTAAGCGAGGGTTACCGTTTTAGCGGGATGAGCGGGGACGGGTAAAGACGCCAGCTCACCATAAGCAATTCAATTTCTCAACGTTACTCTAACCACCATCAGTGTATGATCACCAGGGCGAAATGGCAACTGGGTGATCTTCTCAGAGTATGTAAAGTTGACATCGCCTGCTTTCAGGGGACGAAGTGAATTTTAAAAATTTTCAGAAATTATCTTAATTATCCACAACGCTAAACAAGTCACTTGCACTTTTCAATGACCCATGTAAGTAAATTTCAAAAACTTGGCGATACCCTCCCCCCCCCCCCGCCCCGAGAATCCCTGGTCCAAATTTGCTTTCCTTTTCGAATCGCCTTCACATCTCTGTTTATGTTGTCAAGGACGTCCAGCCAAAGTTGGCAGTAGCAGATTCTAATTCACCGGAGGCACTCATTAAGTTATCAGCTAAGTCCTGCTGCGGATTCTGAATTCCGAGTCGAATACTACAGATTGCGACGACGGAGATAGCCTCACCAGGGCCCGGCATGAGTTCGTTTATGGGCTTCTTGAAAGAAGTCCCCCTTGACTTTTGCGAAATTTTACAAATTCCCTTTTGACTCTCAGCCCTAAAGGTAAAAAGCCCTCTGAAAACGAAACATCGACTAAAAAACGTTGCAATTTTTGGCCACAAAAACGATATCCACTTTGCTTTTTCGCCTTAAAAACAAAGTTTATCTTGGTTCCACACGATCTGCGCCCGGCCCTGAGCCTCGCTTATCGCGGTTGAGCTCTAAGGCTGCGTTCATACTGATTCCCATGTTCTGGAATTTTTCCCGCACAGTTCCCGCACAGTTTCAGCACAGTGCGAGAACTGTGCGGGAACAGTTCCAGAACATGGGAATCAGTATGAACGCAGCCTAAGGGTATGGCTTCCAGGCTATTGTACCTAAAAATATCGGAGATCTTTTATCTATAAAGATAATAAATCGACATAAAGTGCGTGCAGCCCAGTTTCACACTCATCGTCAGTATCTTCAGAATAACCACCGTATGGGAGTGCTTGCTTTTACTGCATTCAAATTTTCGAGAGATTTCCGCTTCGAAATTCACCCTTCGCGGCGGAGCTTGAGCATTAGAGGCCTCGCTATGGCATCGCATCAAAATCACATCGGATTGGAATGCACGTTGAGCTTTCGAACTGCTTTGAATGCCTGGAATCTTTTTCCCTTCAGTCTCCCTACTATAAATATTCTGGAATATTTCTCTAACAAATCCATGCGTACAAACTTTAGATTTCCAACGGTACTATTGACAGTAGATCCGCCTCTATTTACAAAATGCCAGTGTTTCAGTATTAGCCTTAGAGAATGGATGTGGAAACTGATCCAGCATCTGATTTCTTTCTACGACGAGATCCAAGGGATCGCAGTGCGATACACGTGCTTATATTCGATGCGACTGTTAACGACTTGCTTAATATCGGCGTGGATCTTGAGGGGATTTTGGTGAGCATTTTGTTTCGGCTGCAGTTGACTGTGATTGCAATAATTTATTTAGCATAGTATCGGTTTTAAAGCTACTGCTTCTGATGTGCGTATACCTCCACCCTATCCTTCTGATTCTCCTGAGGTAAGTCAGCAGCTCACTACCGCCTCTTCTAAGAAGTCGATGTTACCAGAATTAGATATCTGCCTAAGACTTAGACTGGTACTCCATAGATGTGATAATGTGAAAATTTGCTCAGCCCCAGTTCACACCTGGGCCGGGCGCAAAATGAACCCTTCACCAAAAGCCGGGAAAAAATGAACCGTAGGTCAAGGTTGTGCCTGATGAAATCGCCATAGCTGTTAACCTGATTGTCTTTTCTACCAAAAAAGCGTTGAGAAGTTGTGTTTGGCATTCCTCCATCTGCGTTTATGCATCTTCTTCACGACTTCAGAAAAGTACACGTCAGCAGAGATTTTCTGGAAATGCTGAGCTAGTCAACTCATTTGCAGAATTCATACTTGAGAAGCAGTAGACAAGGTGCTTTAAGCTGCTTTTGGTTTATACGGATTCAGAAGCCTGTCATTCTGACATAACTTATTTATTGCATCATGCTTATAATCAACCAGTGCGTCACCTCTGCTTCGCAGAGGTTGGCTCTACTATCCGTGTGCCTTCCTCAATCTTATATATAAAGCTGAATGTCTGTTTGTCTGTCTGTATGTCTGTATGTCTGTATGTCTGTCTGTCTGTCTGTACGTATGTTCCGAATAGAAAATTCCATTTCTGAACCGATCAGGACCAAACTTGGCACCATACACTACGGGCCCCGGCGGGTGTCATAGGCTACTTTTCGTCATCGATCGATATCGATTTTGCCGATTTTTATCGATTTTTTTGCTGAGTTCACCTACGGGGCTGGGAGTTGGCACAGGGGGGTAATCGAGCATGGGGATTCCGAATACAATGTTGGTTTTCAGGATTATCGATTACTTTTATCGATTTTATCGATTTTTTGCGAAGTTTGAGCTACGGGGCTGGGAGTTGGCACAGGGGGGTAATCGAGCATGCTGATCATCCCCAAGGGGGGTGATCAGCATGCTCGATTACACCCCTGTGCCAAATTCCAGCCCCCTAGCTCAAATTTTCAAAAAATCGATAAAATCGATAAAAGTAATCGATAATCCTGAAAACCAACATTGTATTCGGAATCCCCATGCTCGATTACCCCCTGTGCAAACTCCCAGCCCCGCATTTCAAACTTTACAAAAAAATCGATAAAATCGATAAAAGTAATCGATAATTCTGAAAACTAATATTGTATTCGGAATCCCCATGCTCACTCCCCCCCCCGTGCCAACTCCTAGCCCTGTAGGTGAACTCTGCAAAAAAATCGATAAAAATCGGTAAAATCGACATCGATCGATAACGAAAAGTGGACTGTGGCACCCGCCGAGGCCCGAAGTGTATGTGTGCCAAGTTTGGTCCGGATACGGCGGAGCCGGGTAAGCCAGCTAGTTGCATTATAATGACTTTGAAACTCACCACACAATGCTAAACATCACAAATGGATTGTAAACAATTGCTCATTCTCGAAACTTTTCCACATAAGATCGGTGATTTTGGGAGCAAAAAAATTTTCTCCGAAAGGATAAAAGCAAATTTAAATTATTTTCTGTTCACAACGGCTTGATAACTGCTATAAGTGCACTAAACAGTGTGAGCTACATGCCTGAGCAAAAATCTCCTCAATTTTTTAGATAACACCTTGACAAATCGACTGCAAAGGCTATCATTCTTCTTTGGCGTCGTTTTTGCGGAGGAATGGATTTTTTGACCCCTTTTTAACCTAGAACTTGTGGTCTGCAAACCTGCTTTCCAAATATATCCACAAACATTGCAAAACTCTGAATACCGACTCTGTATTGCGATTTGAATGCCGGTGGACCCGTTAGATGTGCAAATTTTGAGGGATACGTTGATCGGATCAGCTCGCCTTTGTGCGCAGTGAACCTATATGCTGGGTGCATATTGTGTGCAAAAAATCGGCTTAAGACCTTGGCTGTAGCTCGCTCCATGAATTTCGTGACAGACAGAGATTCAGACACACACACACACACACACACACACACACACACACACACACACACACACACACACACACACACACACACACACACACACACACACACACACACACACACACACACACACACACACACACACACACACACACACACACACACACACACACACACACACACACACACACACACACACACACACACACACACACACACACACACACACACACACACACACACACACACACACACACACACACACACACACACACACACACACACACACACACACACACACACACACACACACACACACACACACACACACACACACACACACACACACACACACACACACACACACACACACACACACACACACACACACACACACACACACACACACACACACACACACACACACACACACACACACACACACACACACACACACACACACACACACACACACACACACACACACACACACACACACACACACACACACACACACACACACACACACACACACACACACACACACACACACACACACACACACACACACACACACACACACACACACACACACACACACACACACACACACACACACACACACACACACACACACACACACACACACACACACACACACACACACACACACACACACACACACACACACACACACACACACACACACAACGTAAACAACCCTTAGGCCGTTATTATAAGTTGTGATAGTATTCAAGAGCAATTTGACAACTACCGGCTATCGTAAGACTATGGGAAGCTTATGAATAAAAATAAGGAAATAGTTTGTGAAACGGGTTTGAAAGGTGTACCTATAGTAATATGATCAGCAGGTATTATGACGAAGCACGGAGAAAAAATCGGAGGTTGTTTAGGTAAAATGTGCTCGCCTTGATAGGGGACCCTATTACAGTATGCTGCCAAAGCCCAAGATCCTAAGCTTAGCGTGGACGGTGCCTTAAAGGCAGTGTCTCACCAAAGTTGAGGTCGCGCGGATCTTTACATATTCTATTATAGGGACCTCTGAATAGGCCATTGCAATAAGTCCCACTCTATTTGACCCCCTCCACGCTGAGAAAAATTCGCTCAAAGTGGTACGCGCGGACGACTCCTTCGGTATCCCCCTTATGCGTTTGAACCTTTCCCTCCACATGGCATCCACCTCACCTCTGTTGCTGCCACTGTGGCTGAGATTGAAGTTGGGAGGTACAACTCGTCCTCGGGGCCTCCAGAAAATGGGGTTTTTGGGAACTTTGTACCATTTTGAACCCATACAGTGCTAGATAGGGTCCGAAAGGCTTGAAAAATGCAAAAATCTCGGCAACTGAATTTTGGTGAGACACTGCCTTTAAGCAGGGGCAGAGCTGGCCGAGAGGTTAGTGCTCTGGTCTCTGGTGAAGAAGGTCACGGGTTCGGTTCCGCGCAGAGACTAATTTCTTTGGCAAAAGCTCTTGCCCCACGAATCCAGCGTCAGGCTGCTTAACCAATGGAAGCACGCGACAAGCCGGCTGAAGAAGACAATTCGTCGCATCAAAATGCTCTTTTATGTTCGGAATAAATCTTCGGATCAAGGCTAGGGCGTTCCCCGGAGGCGACGCGCACTCGAGCCCGACGAGTACGACCAGTATGCTAGGGTTACCGTCTCAACAAGGTGAACGGGGACGGCTAAAGAAGCTAGTTCACCGTAGGCACGAAACCAAGTTCTCAGAAAAGCTTCGTCTGGCTACGCTTAACGTTGGATCCCTCACAGCTCGACATCGAGAAGTTGCGGATCTCCTCAAAAGACGCAAAGTAGACATCGCTTGCCTACAAGAAACCAAGTGGAAAGGAGAAAAAGCACGAGACATCGGCGACGGCTTCAAGCTTCTGTATAAGGGAACAAGCAGTAGCAGAAATGGTGTCGGAATAGTGGTCTCTGAAGCACTGAGAGATAGAATAACTGGCGTAGATCGGATAAACGACCGTCTGATGAGTATAGGAGTAGATATAGGAAAGAAGAAGCTTCGAGTAGTAACGGCATATGCGCCACAAGCAGGTTGCGCAGAAGCTGAGAAAGAGGAATTCTGGCAGAAACTCGACGACTACATAAGCGCAATACCACAAGAAGAGCTGCTACTGATTGGAGCAGATCTCAACGGGCATGTAGGAGAGCAGCGAAGTGGTCTTCAGAAGTGTCACGGAAATCACGGATACGGCACACGTAATGAGGAAGGCGAGCGTATCCTGGACTTTGCCACAGCTCATGAATTGGCGTTGGCGAACACGTACTTCATTAAGAAGACCAGTCATCTTATCACGTAATCTAGTGGAGATCGTAGTTCGCAAATAGACTTCTGGGCACTACGACACAATGATTTCAAGTATGTGAGAGATAGCAAAGTCATCCCCGGCGAAGACTGCGTACCTCAACACAGACCGCTGCTTCTAGACTTGAACATCCCCATCGATAGAAGAAGAAGGGCAATGACGGGAGGTAGGGAGCGCATCAAGTGGTGGAAGCTCAAGGACAACCCTCAAGCCAAAGCAGCAATGAAGTCAGCCCTGCCAAAGATGGAAGAAGAACCGGAACAATCATGGACACATCTGAAGAACAACGTCCATCAGATGGCAAGCAACCTACTAGGCCGCACGAAACCAGGAAGGCCGAAGCTTGAAAAAGAGACATGGTGGTGGAATGGTACCGTACAAGAAGTGATCAAGAAGAAGAAGACGGCGTATAAGGTGTGGCAGAAGTCAGGAGAAGAAGACGCGCGTCAAGAATATCTGAATGCAAAACGTGCAGCAAAGAAGAGTGTCAGAGAGGCGAAAGAAGCTTACATGGCAGACGTCTACAGGAAGCTGCACACCCGTGAAGGCGAGCGAGAGATATATCGGATCGCAAAAAGAAGAGCGAAAGCCACTCAAGACACGGATCACTACCACAATATCAAGGATATCCATGGAAGAATCCTGAGAAGACCCGAAGAGATAAGCAAACGATGGCGAACACACTTCGAAGCAATGGCATCTACAAGTTACGAAAAG